TAAATAAATAAATAAATAAATAAATAAATAAATAAATAAATAAATAATTTTTAAAAAGAAAAAGAAGGGCCAGTGAGCTGAGTCAGTAGGTAAAGACATTCACCAACAAACCTAATGACCTGAGTTTGTTGGCCAAAACCCACAGGATAGAAGGAGAAAAACAACTACAACTTGTCCTCTGACCTCTGCATGCACACTATGGCAGATTCATGGCCACATTCATATACACACAATTCAAAATGTATAAATAAACTGGGCGCAATGGTGCATGCTTTTAATACCAGTACTTGGGAGGCATCAAGAGGCAGAGGAGTTCAAGGCCAGCCTGCTCTACAAAGTGAGTCCAGGACAGAGCCAGAGAAACCCTATCTTGAAAAACAAGCAAAAAGTGTGTATTGGAACTGCATAAAGCAAAGCCTCATAATGGCAGTCTAGGGAATCCAATGTACTTGTAGTGGGTGTGTTTGTTGTGGACCCTGAGAGGTGGCCCTAGGATCTGGGGCCAGCAGACTTTACAGTTTCAGAATCGGGACTTAGAAAGATATCCCAACTGAAAGAGCCTACCTAGTAGTATATCAAAGCAGATGCTGAGACCCATAACCAAGCCTTCAGCAGAGTGTAGGGAATCATATGAAGGAAGGAGGAAATAGTATAGCCTAGAGGGGACAGGGAGCCCCACAAGGTCCAAATATATCTGAGCACAGGGGTCTTCTATGAGACTGTTTATCCAACCAAGGACCATGCATTGATATAACCTACAACCCCTGCTCAGACATAGCCCATGGCAGCTCAGTATCCAAGTGGGTTACCTAGTAAGAGGGACAGGAATTGTTTCTGACATGAACTCATGAGCTTCCCCTCCCCGCTGATGGAGGAGCAGCCTCGCTAGGTCACAGATAAGGACATTGCAACCATCCTGAAGATACCTGATAAGCTAGGGCCAGACGGAAGGAGAGGAGGACACCCCCTCTCAGTGGACTCGGAAGGGGGCAGGGAGGACATGAGGGAGGGAGGGGAGGTTTGGAAGGGAAAGAGGGAGAGGGCTACAGCTGGGATACAAGTGAATGTATAAAATTATTTAAAAATAAAAAAAATATTTAAAAAAAGAATTCATTATTTTATTTTAGACAGGGCTTCTCTGTGTAGCCCTGGCTAGTCTAGAACTGGCTATATAGACCAGGCTGCCTCTGCCTCCTGGTGCTGGGATTAAAGGCATGCACAAGCACTTCCAGCTGTGTTCTTGTTTCTGAATCCTACAGTAACTCAAATTTTAACTAAAGACAACTTCTGTTTCATGAATTTCCATTTCTTCTCCCTTCCTTCAACTCCATTTTAGATACAATACCAGGGAGGCAGTGCATGGCTTCCTGTTTCTTCCTGCTTAAACAATTTGATGATGTCTTGATTTACCTCAACTCTTTCAAGGTCAGTATGGATTATCAATACTTTATACGTTCAACATTCTACGTGCAGTATTAGACGGAAATGATGGTTTAGGCAGGAGAACTAAGAGCTTAAGGCTAAACTGGGCAAGGTGGCACATGCCTTTAATCCCAGCACTCAGTAGGCAGAGGCAAGCTGATCTCTATGAGTTCAAAACCAGCCTCTACATAGTGAGTCCCAGGATAGCCAGAGCTACATAGTAAGACCTGGTCTCAAAACAGCAATAAAAAATGAGTTCAAGGCCAATCACAGTTACTTATCCCCCTCAAAAGTTATCAGTTTATAGATAGCCCCTTTTCTCTGGTAGTATTTATGGCATCAAAGAATTAATCTACATTTTTTTTTGAGACATGGTTTCTTTATGTCGTTCTGGCTGTCGTGGAACTCACTCTGTGTATACCAGGCTAGCCTTGAACTCACAGAGATCCACCTGCCTCTGCCTCCCAGTTTCAGGAATTAAAGGCATGTGCCATCACATCTAGCTTAATTCCTTAAGATTATTTCTATGGGAGCAGGAATTAAAAAAAAAAAAAAAAAAAAAGGCCTGGTGATCTGAGGCTTGAATTCAAGAACTCAAGTAAAGGTAATAGAAGGAAAGAGCTAGAGCTGAACTACAAAATTGGCCTTTGACCTCCACATGTCCCATGGCACATACATTACATACTACCCTACTACCACCACACACCCACATATCATGCATGCGCACACAAGAACACACACACTAATTTTTTTTTTTTTTTAATTTGAGAGACAGGTGACTGTGTCATCCTGGCTTGCCTGGACTTCATCATATAGACCAGACTGGCCTCATAATCAGAAATCTGCCTGCTTCTGTCTCTTGAGTGCTGGGATTAAAGGTGCATGGCACCATACTGAGCCATAATACACTTTTAAAAAGATTGTTTAGTTAGTGTAGCTGATGTCTTTGTATTTTACATTATTAAAATTCAGTGTGGCTGTTCTGGCACATTTTTCAGAGTTACTTCTATAATGATGACATCTTTAACTTTAATTATGCCCAAGCCAAAGCTGCAACAGGCAATACCAGTGAGGGTGAAGAGGTGAGTACCTACTTTTCTATTTCTTTAGAGTGATAACACTTATTAAGGTGCCTGCTTTTAAAGGCGTTTGAACGATTGTATCTAAAAGCATCCTTAGATTCTTCTCACTAAAATAAAATGGTCAAGGTTAAAGGACTGTTAAAGGTTGATTTAGCTAGGGACTAGTACCCCATTCCTATAAACCCGGTGAGAGCTTAGTAGTAGACCAGTCAGCCTCAAAACAAAACACCAGAACAGTCCAGAGAGGTGGCCCAGTGAGTTCAGGAGCTAGCTACGCAAGCCTGCTGACCCAAGGGCATCCCTAGAACCGGCACGAAAAACTGGCTGTGGTAGAACTCTTGCCCATGGGAGGCAGAAACACAAGGCCTGCCTGGAAGCTTGCAGGCCAGCTAGCCTGGGCTATGCAGCATTGCAGCAGCAAAATGAAAGGCCTGCTTCAGCAAGGGAGAAGGCAAGAGCCAGCTTCTGAAAGTTGTCTTCTGGTCTCCAAATGTACATCGTGTTACACATGTACCTTGTACTCTCATGCATGTGTGTGAATGCTTGGGCACATGTGCGTGCACACACACGCTCAGAGTAAATAAGTAATTTTAATTTGTTTCATTGCGGCTTACATTAAAAAGTACAGTATAAGCCTGGAGAGATGGCTCAGCCATTATGAGCACTTATTGCTTTTGCAGAAGACTAGAGTTGAGTTCCCAGCACCTTTGTGGTGGCTTGTAACTGCCTGTAATCTGAATTGCAGGGAGTCTGACACCCTCTACTGTTCTCTGGGCTTTTGCATGTTCATGGTATGCATACACTCAACCAAGGTCACATGCATGCCCATAAATAAAAAGCAGATCTTTAAAAAATATAGTGTTATTAAACATATAGATTTTATAATCATTAATGTTTTCCTTTAACTCTTCAGTTTTACTATTAAAATATAAGGCTACATTATCAGCAGCCTGGTCTAGTTGATAATTCCATCTTCATTGTATATCCAGCCTCATGTTTATTCCCTTTCTTTTCTTTCATAGGTTTTCCTCTTGATCCAAAGTGAGAAGTTGAAAAATGATTACATTTACCTCAGTTGGTTAGCTCGCTGCTGTAAGTTCTCTTTTGCAGCATTACAAGAATCCTCTTTTTCTTCTCCATCATGTAATCTGTTTGGAAATCACATTAAGCATTTTCTACAGTTGTTTGTGTTCCGTAGGATGAGTAGACACTGAGATTAAGGGCTGCTATGCTCCTGGTAAGAGCTGCCATGTGCCTGTGACGGGTGACTTCACCCGGGATTAGTTCCGCAGTTCCGCTGTTCCACACTAACACTCCACTGCTGTTGCAAACAGATTCCGGGTTCTTCCAGTGTCACTAAAGCATCCAGTAGAGAAGATGCTGTCACACTGATTTTGCCTGTTCAAGCCTGAAAAGTAGCAACATGCCAAAATGTAATTTTTGTTCATTGATAACCTGTAATAAGTCTCTCTCTCTCTCTCTCTCTCTCTCTCTCTCTCTATTGTGTCTTCTTCCTCTTTTCCCAGATTTTTGCCTATATTAATTGTACATAGCACCAGGTTTCATCAAGACAACTTCAAGTATATCATATTCTTTGACATGTCCTCTCCACATGCTTTCCCATAGTTTCCTCCATTTCCATCTCCCCTCTGCTTTCCTATCACATGGAAAAATGGTCTTGTGAATCTTTACAAAATCTAGGATCCACAAATAAGAGAAGGCATTTATTTGTCTAAGTTTTCATATGTTAAACTTTCAAGTTGTACATTTTCTAAGTTGTACACATTGTTCTTTATATTGTGTGTGTGCGCGCACGTGCGTAACATAGTTACTATGAATAATGCCCAATGAACATGGTGTGCAAGTGTCTGTGGTGCAAGGACCTGGAATCATAGCATAGTTCTATTCTAGATCGTCTTGCTTTGTTATTTTGTGGTGCTAGGGCTCAAACCTGGAGCCTTGTGCATGGCAGGTGAGTATTGGACCACTCTAACAATACCCCGCTATTTAGAGACTTTGAGGAATCTTCATACTTGACTTCTGCATCTAATGGGCTAATTTATGTCCCCACTAGCTGTGTGTAAAGGCTCCCTTCTCTCTACACTCTCCAGTACTTATTTTGTTTGATAGCCATTCTGACCAGGAAGAGATGGACTCACATGTGGTTTTGATTTCCATTTCCCTGAAAGCTAAGGATGCTGAATATTTTTCATATGCTTATTTGTCATTATACCTTATATTCTGAGAACTGTCTGTTAACTTTATTACCCATTTATTGGTTTGCTATTTAGATTTTGGTATTTTGGGTTTTGGGAGCTTTTTGCATATTACAGATGTTAATCCTCCATAGGGTATAGCTAAACCATTATTTTGGCCTTTCTGTGGGCTTTCTTTACTCAGATGTTTCCTAGGCTGCACAGAGACCTTTCAATTCATGAAATCCCATTTGTTCAGTCTTGGCCTCAGTTGTTAAGCTATTGGAGTGCTTTTGAGAAGACCTTGCCTATGCCTACATCTTGGAGTGTTTTCCCTGTGTTTTCTTCTAACAGTTTTAGAGTTTCAGGTCTTAGGTTAAGGTCTTTGATCCATATTTTTAAGTAAAGTAATAGATAGGGATCTAATTTCATTCTTCTTTATGTGGATATCCACTTCCGCCAGCATCATTTGTTGAAAAGGCTCTATTTCCCCAATTTATATTTTGACACCTTTGTCAAACTCAAATGGCCATAACAGTATATAGATTTAATTATGGGTCCATTATTCTATTCCATTGAGTTATATGTGTGTTTTTGTGCAGGTACCCTTTTGTATTTACATGTGAATTTTAGCATTTTTTTTTCTGTTTCTGTGAGGAATGTCATTGGAATTTTTGTGGCAATTGCCTTGAATCTGTTTATTGTTTTTGGTAATAAAGCCATTTTTGTTTGGCTGACTCAGGACCATAGGGGGTTCTTTGATTTTCTAGTGTTTTTTGTTTGTTTCTTTGTTTTTTGTTTTTTGTTTTTTTTTTTCTTTACTGCTTAAAATTTCATTGTATAGGTCTCTTGTAGGTTTCTTGGTTAAGTTTGTTCCCAATTGTTGTGTTGTCTTTAAAGCTATTATAAATGGGGTTGTTTTCCTGATTTATTTCTTGGAAAGTTTGTTACTGATATATAGAAAAGCTGTTTTTTTTTGTTTGTTTGTTTTCAAGTTGATTTTTGTATGCTGATACTTTGTAGAAAGTGTTAATCAGCCTAAAAAGTTTCCTGATAAAATTTTTAGGGTTTCTGATATATAAGATCATACCATCTGCAAGTAGCGGTAATGGGACTACTCATTTCTTATTACTATTCTCTTATTTGTTTCTATTGTTTTATTGCTCTAGCTAAGACCTCAAGGACTATATTGAAGAAGAGTGGAGACAGTTTTAATAAATTAAAAAGTTTTAAAGGGTGGAGAAAATGGACACCTAATAGTATTGCTGGTTTTAGAGGAAAGTCTTTGAGTTTTCCCCATTTAGAAATTGTTTAAGATGTATTAATGTATTTATGCAGTACTCTGCCTGCATGTATGCCTGCAGGACGGAAGAGAGCGTATCTCATTACAGACAGTTGTGAGCTACCATGTGGTTGCTGGGAATTGAACTCAGGACCTTTTTGGAAGAACAGGCAGTGCTTTTAACCTCTGAGCCATCTCTCCAGCCCCTTAGCATAATGTTATGGGTTTTTTGGTTTTTTTTTTTTTTTTTCAGTGTATTTGATGCCTTCCACCTTCTTCTATAGTTTCACTTTAGTGAACATAAATTCCTTCAGTTTGTATTTATCATGGCAAATTTTTCTTTTTTCAATTATAAGCATAGCTTTGCTAAATATAGTACTCTGGGTTGGCAATTATTGCCTTTGAAATTTTGAAATATGTCATTCCATGAATTTTTTTACTATTAGAATTTCTGTTGCAGAAGTTCCTCCTGTTTGATGGAATTGTCTTTACATGTGACTTCATGCTTCTCCCTTGAAGCTTCTGGGGTTTCTTTGGGCTCTCTATGTTTAGTGTTTTAACTATGACTTAGAGGTTCTTTTCTGGTCCTGTCTTCTTGGCATTCTAAAAGCTTCCTAGATGGACATCTCTTTCCCTAGATTTTTCACATTTTCCCACTGTGATCATATTGAATATATGTTTTTCTTTGTCTTCAATGTCTCTCTGTTTTATGCCCATGAATGATGTATTAAGTCTTTTAATTATGTCCCATATATCTCATTTTTCATCTCCCATTAATACTTTATTTTTATTGATATATGAATGTTCACTGCATTAATCATGGTTCTCTTAACAGAACAGAACTGAGAGGATGTACACACACTTACACACATAGAACACACACCTATGTCATATGTCTGATTTGCTATACTTCTTTACAAGCTCAGGCCCATGTAGTCCAACAGTGATTCCTCTCATAGTGGAAAAGCTGAAATCTGGTAGTGGCTCCATGCCCAAAGCCGAATATCTCAGCATTCTCCCAAGCTGGCACTGGAAGCCTAGAGGGTTCCTAGGGAGCTGCTGATCTTTGGAATCCTAAATACATTGGTTCTAATACAGGCAAGGATCAGCAGTAGGACAGATGAACTTGTCAGTGAGAGGGAGGGTGAGCAGGTGAAAAGCAAATGCTTCCTTTTTCAAGTGCTTTTATATAGGTTGCTACCTGAAGGTGTGGCCAACATTTAATGTGAGGCTTCCGGCTTCAAATAATCCGTTTAAGAAAACCCCTCACAGTCATGCTCAGAATCTTGTGTTTTAGTTGATTCTATACAGTCAAGATGATAACCAAGATTAGCTACATTCATCTACTTTCTCCCTGAGTCCTATGAAAGACAGTATCAGGACTTGGGCTTTCCATTGAATTTTTTTATAACTTACTGAAATTTTAACTTACAAAGTTTTAAATTGTTTCACCATATTTATTCTTATGAATTCCTTTTTATATATTTAAATTCACTTAATTTTTTTTAACAATTTAGGTCTTTTTTTTTTTTTTTAGTCTCTTTTTCTTTTTTTGTGTATTTGTGTATACAGTCTGTGAATACAGTGCCTGAAGACGCCAGAAGAGGGCATTAGATCTCCTGGAACTGGGAATACAGACAGTAACAGACAGTTGTGAGTTACCATGTGGTTCAGGGAGCAGAATCTTGAGTCCTCAGGAAAAGCAGCCAGTTCTCTTAACTGGCTTATCTTTTCAGCCTCTTATACTGATTTCTTTACTCAGCTATTTGTTTTCTTTGATTTCACTCAGATGATTATTCATATCCTCTTTGATTTCAATAAATGTTCTCATATTTATTCTTTTGAATTCTTTATCTAGGATCTCACCTAATTTACTTTAGCTCTCACTGGATTCCATTACTGTGAAATTATTTTTAGAGTAATTGTATTGTCTTGATATTTCAGTTTTTATGTTTCTGCATTGAGACTTTTGATTTTGTTTTGTTTTGTTCTTTTGAAGCACAGTCTCACTATGTGGCTCTGGCTGTCTTGGAACTCACTGTATAGACCAGGTGGTCACTATAGGATAGACTCTGTCCTGTAATTTACAGAGTCCACAAGCCCCTACCTCCCAAGTGCTGGATGAAAGGCATATACCACCGTACCCAGCTCTGCATTGGGATTTGCACACCTGGGATTTTGTTTTCTGTTGGATTTTGTTTTTTATTTACTTGTATTGTTTCCATGAAAGTATTTTCCGTGTTCAAGAGGTTCTAGGTTATGGTAGAGTTGAGATGTTGTTTCTTTTCTTCTGGTCCTAGAGTGTAGCTCAGTGACTAAGCCCTCAGACCACATGCTCTGAGCACTAGGCCATTATCCAGCTCTGTGCTAAGAGTCGAACATTAACTGAAGAAACAACTCTAACCTGTGGATATGCCTGCCACAAAAATACAGCAAGTGTATTAAAAGCAACTGCCTCTTCCACTCCAATAGTTTCAGTGGAGTAAATGAACAAGAATAGTACATTGTGTGCCAAGATACCAGTTATTAATGGTAGGGACAGTAGGGAAATAAACTGCATAAGACTAATAATTGGTCTGAGCAACAGAAAAAGATGTAAGAGGAAAAAGTAAATATAAAGGGTGGACAATAAAAACAAAGAGAGGCGATAAGCATCTCCAGCTGAAGGGAGAATGGAATCCTGTCGGATAACCTAAAACAATACTAGCATTCAGGAAGCTGAGACCATCAGACCCATAATTATAGCTACACTTATGGTCTTTGAGAATGCCAATTTTAAAAAATTAAACAGATATGAAAACAAATAAAACCAAAAGCCCAGCATTACCTAAAGGGAAATCAGAAAGTCTGATGTTCAAGGCCATGCTTGGCTCCATGGTGAGTTTTTATCTGAGATACATCAGATAAAGAAAGAAGGAGGGAAGAAAGGAAGGAAAAGAAAGGAAGAAAAAAGGAAAGAACAGAGGGAGAGAAGGAAGAAGAAAGAAAAAGAAAGGAAGGAAGAAAAAGAAAGGAAGGAAGGAAAGAAAGCTGGTTGAGAGACAGAAGGAGGTAGGTCGTCGTGAGTTCAAAGCTCTTCTAGTCTATATATTGAGTTCTAGGCTATCCAGAACTACAGAGTGAAATCTTTTTGTGTTTTTTGTTGTTGTTTTAGTTTTGTTTGAACAGCTAATCTGGACTAGAGAGGTGGTTTGGTAGTCAGGTGTGTTCACTGCCCTTCCAGAGGATGAGATTGATCCCAGCATCCACATCAGGTGGTTCCCTCGGGCTTATAACTCCAGTTCCAGGAATAAAAAAATAATCTTTTCAGTGTATTCTTCTCTTCTATATTACATCTCAACCAACCAATTTCCCCTCCCAGTTCTCCTCTCCACCATCCCCTTTCCCCACCCCGCCTCATTCCACTCCTCTATGTCCCTTCAGAAAGGGGCAGGCCTCCCAGGGATATCAACCAAACATGGCATATTAAAGTTGCAATGAGACTAGGCACCTTCCCTCATATTAAGTCTGGATGAGGCAACCCAGTAGGAAGAGCCCCAAAGCAGGCAAAAGAGTCAGGGACAGCCTTGTGACGACTAAATCAGACCCATGCAAACCCCTGGTTTTTGGTTCAGTCTCTCTGTGAGCCCAGGTTAGTTGATTCTGTGGGTTATAAATAATAAAAAATAAGCCAACAGTGTTAGCCTACACCGTTAATACCAGCATTTGGAAGGCAGAGGCAGGCTGATCTCTGTGGGTCAAGGCCAGCCTGGTCTAAGAGCGAGTTCTAGGACAGCCAAGAGTACAGAGAAACCCTGTCTCAAAAAAAAAAAAACAAAATAAATAAGCAAACAAACAAAATAATAAAAACAGGGTACAGCAGAGGTGGCCTACTGAGTTAAAAATAGATTTCAAATAGGGGAAGCACAGAAGTAAAGGAAAGAGAACTAAGGTGGGGATTCAGAATCTATTTATGGTGCTTCATCTGGGTACAAGTGTCAGACCTGAGTTTATATAATCCCTTGGATAGACATTGTTACCATCCAGTCAGATTTAAAATATGCACCAGGGCCACTGAGATGCCTCAGTAGACAAGCACTTGTCTCAAGGAAACCACATAAAGGTGGAAGAGAACTGGTCATCATACATGCACCCTGGCACATGCCTCTCATTCCCAACACGCAACACACACACACATACACACACAAACCTTTTAAAGTTATTCTTTGATGGGGAGCAGCCTTGCCAGGCCACAAAGGAAGACAATGCAGCCAGTCCTAATGAGACCTGATAAGCTAGGGTCAGATGGAAGGGGAGAAGAACCTCCCCTATCAGTGGACTTGGGGAGGGGCAGGGAGGAGATGAGGGAGAGAGGATGGGATTGGGAGGAAATGAGGGAGAGGGCTACAGCTGGGATACAAAGTGAATAAACTGTAATTAATATAAAAAATAAAAATTTAATTTAAAAAATTTTTCAATATGTTTTTATAGTCACAGAACATTTTAGCATTTAGCACTTAGCATTTTACCTATTCTTCTTCTTCTTGGTGGTGCTAGTAGTATTTTCAGGCAGTCTCATTCTATATCCCAGGCTGGCCTTAAACTCATGATCCCATTAATTTGTCTCCCAAAAGCTGGAATTACAAGCATGGACCATGACACTTGGCTAACAGATTCTATGAGGTGAAACTGTGAGCAAGATTGAATGAGTAATGACCATGTTCTTTAGCAAAGTGGGAACTTTTAGAAATCAACTCAGTCTAACAATAATTATAGAAATTTTAAATATTTCGGGTTTGCTCTCATTCTGGTAAGGAGCTAGTTAGATGGCAGCATTGCAGGCTCTCCATGGAAGCGGTATTTCACCCCCTTTTTGAATCTGAGAGGCAGAAATCCAGGTCCCTAGAACGGCAAGTGTGCAGCCTGAGCCTGGGAGCTGAGGTGACTGACGGCTCCATGTAAGATTGCCTGTTGACCTTTGAGAGGGCAGAATTCAGTCCCTGGGCTCACGACCTCCTGCTACTCCGGCTTTAGAGGCTCCAGTGCCCTCTTGCCTCCAAGAACACACACATAAATATAAATTAAGTTTAAAAATACCTAAGCTGTTCTTCAACTCCAGCCTCCAGCCTCTCAAGTGATGGGAATACAGGACTACTCTACCATTTGTAGCTTAGGTATTATCTTCAGGCACTGTCATAAATTATAACACAATTGGGTTCTTTTGTTTGTTTGTTTTGTAGACATCATGAATAAGAAACCAAGGCTAGCTTGGGAACTTTATCTCAAGATGGAAACCTCCAGCGAGTCCTTCAGCCTCTTACAGCTCATTGCCAATGACTGTTACAAGGTGAGTTTGGGTGACAGGAAAGGGAAAAGTGAGGATCAGCATCACGTGGCATAAGCTGAATATTAATTCTAGAGACTGACTAGCTATTGGTAAGAAGATTGCACCATAACATCAGAAATGTCATCTTTTTATGAATTATGTGAACCCGGGAGTGGGTTAACATTTCAGAGTCTCATCTGCGTATAAACTGTGATTTAGAAGGCTTCAGACTTCCAAGGCCATGAAGTCTCAGCTACTGTCTGCATAGAAACATTCAGCTGATGGACAGAAATTTGGTTCTGAAATTTGAGAAGCATGTCACCTGAAGACAGGTTAGGCCTCACCATCAGCCTACTAATTAGCTAGGCTTGGTGGCACATGCTTCTCATCTCAGCACTTGGGAAGTGGAGACAGCCTGGGTTATATACAAATTTCAAGAACCTGTTTCAAAGAAAAAGAAACATGAAACGTTCAAAACGGTGAGGTTAGGGGCTAGCAAGATGACTTATCGTGTAAAGGCAACTGCCGCCAAGACACCTGATGATGTGAGTTTGGAAGGAGAGAACCATCTCCTGACAGTTGTCCTCTAATCTTGCTGTGGGCACTGTGGCATGTGGGCAGTCACATGCACACCTCTTTCTGCTTTCTTAGTCTCGGTCTGTCCCTCCCTCCCTTAGTTGTAAAGCTGGGAATATGGGTGAGTGGTAGAGTGTTTGTCTACCATGCTCAATGCCACAATAAATAAATAAATTATTTAAAACTTGCTGGGCAGTGGTGGCACACACTACCACTTGGCACTTAGGAGGCATAGGCAGATGGATCTCTGAGTTTGAGGCCAGCTTGGGGTATAGAACTAGTTCCAGGATAGCCAAGGCTACACAGAGAAACTGTGTTTCAGAAAAAAAAAGAAAAACAAAACCAACAATTGAGCTGGGTGATGATGGTGGTGCACACCGTTTATCTCAGCACCCGGGAGGCAGACGGAGGCAGATCTCTGTGAGTTTGAGGCCAGCCTGGTCTACAGAGTGAGTGCCAGGACAGCTCTACATAGAGGAATCCTGTCTCGGGGAAAAAAAAATTAATTAATTTAATTAATTATTTAAAATTTGGTGATCTCAATGACACAGATAGGAAACATTTTCATTTTCCTTATGTGGGGAGCATCATCAGTCTTAACATCCAAATCAAATTTTGAGGAGGGAATCTCTCCAAATTTATAAGGAATATCAAGAATGTTGTGCTGAGTTAAAAAAAATCAGTTTTGTATTTTATAACATATAAAAAAATCTTGAAAATACAACATTATCAGTGACAACATTACCAAGAACAATTAGTGGCTTCCAGGTGCTAGGGATGTCAGTTGAGAACAAGGGACCTCTGTTGATGGAGGAGCGGATGGTGGTAGGGGAGGACTGGAACTCTGCTCAGGACTATCATCTCAGCAGTGTCTACAGAGATGTCCTGATTTTGGTATTTTTTACTATAGTTATAGAAGCTGCAACCATTGATTGTGACAGGTACAGGTGACATTGTGCTATGGATCTGTAATCATTTAAAAGTAAAACTGGAGGTACTGATGGCTAGAGAGGTGGCTCTGCACTGAGGCATACTTGCTGCTCTTCCAGGGACCCAGATCTGATTTTCAGAAACCACATGTGGTTCACAACCATCTGTAACGTCAGTCTCAGGATTTGATGCTTCTGGCATTCATGGGCACCAGACATCCACAGTGTCCACAGACATGCATATGGCAAACACCCCTACTGTAAAAGAAACTTTTTTATTTGCCTGAAGTACTTGTCATCCTGGACACTTACTGCCTCTGTCTGCTAACCTTGGCCTAGTCCTGGAAGCTTCTATCCTTCATGCAGTCTAATCTAGGCCTAGAATGTTTTCAGCCTCTGAGGCTTATAAGCTCACCCTTTCTAGTTCTTTCTGAACTCTTGCGATTTTTGAGACAGGGTTTCTCTGTGTAGCCTTGGCTCTCCAGGTCTTGCACTGTAGACCAGGCTGGCCTCAGACACAAAGAGATTCACCTGCTTATGAATCCCTGATTGCTGGGATCACAGGTATGCGCCACCATGCCAGGAAGTTTGTGATTTTCCTGTGCAGTGTAAAGCTGAGAGTTCAGTGTAAACATCAAGGCATGCTATCAGCGGCTGAGAAGTAGGCTGGATGAGTGACCAAATCCACAGGGTGAAGAGGAGTACCCAGCAGCTTGGAGCCTTAGGATCCACCTTGGAAAACCCAGCTAGGCAGATAGCAGTTATGCTCAGCGACATCTGGGAGGCTAAGGAAATGTGTCTTTGGGATAGATATCTGTTGAAATGAATTAAGAGATTTTTGTTCTTAGACTTGTTGCAGAATTTTAGGAATTCTAAGAATCAGGAAAAGACCAGTGTTTTGAATTGAGTATGATCAGGTTAGTGTAATGTATTGAGGAAACTTGAAAAATACCTAATTCATCTGGGCAGTGGCAGTATGGTAGTACGTGACTTTAATCTAGCCCTTGGGAGACAGAGGCAGGTGGATTTCTTTCAGTTCTAGGCCAGCCTAGTCTACTAATCTAGTCCAGGTCAGCCAGGGCTATACAGAGAAGCTCTATCTCGAAAAACCAAAGGAAAAAAAAAGAAGAAAAAAGAAAAAAAAAAAAAGAAAGACATTTACATGTAGATAGAAAAAAAAGAAAGAAAAATACCTAATCAAGACAGCCATCAGTTTTCCACAATAGTGGAATGGAAATAGAAGAAACAATGTCTTGAAGGCAGCATCAATGTTCAACCGTATGTAGACAAAAGGTTCTATCACTGACAGTAAGGACATGTGGCTTTCAATGAACCTGTGCACCTAACCTCTGGTTCTCCTGCTTTAGCTAGGGACTGAAATGTACCTAAGTTGCTACCTCAAAATCTGTGTGTGTGTGTGTGTGTGTGTGTGTGTGTGTGTGTGTGTGTGTGTGCGCGCATTTGCTTCATCCCCATTCTGTTATGCACTCCCTATGTTTCATTCTGTCCCACCTCTTGACTAAATATTACCACCATGCTTTCTTTTGTGCAGATGGGCCAGTTCTACTATTCAGCCAAAGCTTTTGATGTCCTAGAGAGGCTGGACCCCAACCCTGAGTACTGGGAAGGCAAAAGGGGTGCCTGTGTGGGCATTTTCCAGATGATTTTAGCTGGGAGAGAGCCCAAGTAAGTAAAGAAGTGAACAGAGTCACCTGTGTGCACTCTGGTGAAATCTTAAAGACAGAGAAAATGGGGGGTTGGAGAGATGGCTCAGAGATTAAGAGCACTGTTTGCTCTTCCAGAGGTCCTGAGTTCAGTTCCCAGCAACCACATGGTGGCTCACAACCATCTGTAATGAAAATTGGTGTCCTTTTCTGGCGTTGAGGTGTACATGCAGGCAGAACATTGTATACATAATAAAATAAAGCTTTTTAAAAAAAGAGAAATTGAGATGTTAACATTGTATAATCATTTTCTTTCAGAAATGTCTTATTTTATGGAGTCAAATGGCCCTAAGTCATACATACTGGGATTCTAAGTATACTAGAGTCTCCAAATCCAGGGCATGGTATACCTCTGGCTCCAGGTGAACAGTCATTTCCATAAACAAATGCCATTCACAATTCTAGTTCCTCTCTCTTCTCTGCCTACTGGCTTTTCCTTCTCTCTAATTCAGGCTTCAAGAAAATAGGAATGGAGTAAACATGGTTGATAATTCTTTTTTTGCTTCTACCTTCTTATATTCCAGGAAATGCTAAGGTATTTGATTATATAAAACTAAGAGACTTGTAGTTCTATATTAATAAAAACTAAAATGCTTAAAAATAAATTCCTAGCACTTGGAATCCTGAAGCAGAATTGTGAGCTTAAGGCTAGCAAAATCAACCTGGGCTAAAACTAATTCATTAATTCAGTGTTCTAAAAATAACTCCATGCACTATGTTATTGCTTAATACATATGGATAGAAAATATAACTTTGCAAGCAAATTATCAAAATTTACTTCCTGCCTTGTGTCTACTTAAAATCCTAACTAAAAGCTCTTAGTCAGGTGCAGGAAGTTCCTCAGAGTGAAAAGGAATAGAAAACAAGACTACAAGGGACATACCCACACAGTTGCCAGAGTTCTGTTCTCTTCTGCCCTCCTCAGGCACCTGTGTACATGTAGGAACTCACTCCTACAGACACACAGAAAGGGACGCACACAAGCCTACATTAAATGAGTTTAAGTTAAAACATGTTTTAATTAGTTAAAGTGTAAATGCTGGGTATTCACCAAATTTTAGTCCTTACTGCTATTCTCATCTATTTTATTAGTATATTTGAACCTCTTTTGAGCAAATCTGTTAAAACCACTCATTGCTAAGGTTTAGAAAACTAGCAGTTTTGTAATCTTATGCTCAGTGGAGCATCCATTAAAACAAATGCCTCACTGGGATGTACTACAATGTCATGAGATTGACAGTTTTCCTTCTCACTTGTGACAGTTTGTTCTCTAACCTTTCCGCAGAGAGACCCTCCGAGAAGTGCTGCACTTATTGAGAAGCACAGGAAACACCCAAGTGGAGTATATAATCAGGATCATGAAGAAATGGGCCAAGGAGAACAGAGTGCCCATCTAAACAGCCGAGCCCAGGCCAGGGACCAGCTTTCTCTCACATCAAGTTGGTACTGTTTTCCTGTACTTGAGTATGTGACCCAGGATCCTGTTTGATTGACATTTACTTCCTTGCCCTTAGAGCATCAAGAAGAGTGGCTGGTATGTGTGGACTGAGCCAACGGCAGCAAGACCTCCCTGGTAATCTATGGTGAAAGGACTTTGGACTTCCCTGGTGCCTTCCTTCCAGAATCACTCAAAATACTCATAATTTACTGGCTTTTAAGAATAGGTAATAGTCTTGTTTTTCTTTCTCTGTTAGCAGTTCAGGACATTTTCTCCTAGCTGCAATGACAAGTACCTATGTACTAAAGAATTGCATTGTTTGATCATCTTCCGTCAGCTTGTACATTAGCCCATCCGTGAAGAACACAGCTCTGAGCCCTGGGGGGAGGCTTCCCGAGCTGTGTGATTGAGGATGGCCAGGAGACCCTCTACCAAACTGCAGTTATTAGTAGACAGTACGCTTATGGGATCACTCTCTCAGTAAATGAATTGCTGCTCATTGCGTTTGTTAGAATGGGACACGTTGAGTACTGTAGGTTTTTAAAAAGGAAAAGGAAAAACTTGGCATCTCTGAGGGTGTACAAATCTCAGAGTTGCTGCTCCCTTGTATTTTAGGAAACAAAGCCAGGACAAGCTTCTTCATATATCTGCTGAATGAGCATCAGTTTTCAACATAGGGCTGGGAAGGTTTCATGATACATATGCACATTTGTTTTGTTTTTAGTATTTTTTTTTCAAGATAGGGTTTCTCTGTGCATCCCTGGCCGTTTGGAACTCATTCTGTAGACCAGGCTGGCCTCAAACTCAGAAATCTGTCTGCTTCTGTCTTTCCAGTGCTGGGATTAATGGTGTGCGCCACCCCCACTCCCCAGCATACATACATGTTTATCTTGCACATACATGCACACATGGTAGGGATTTATTGATACAATTATAAACCAGGGTTCCTTGAGTGACCTCTAATGGCTAGCCTCTTTATCATATCTCAGCCCGGTGCCTCTGAGCTGTCATTACATAAACTTTCTTCTACAACCAAGTATTCTCGGGCTTACGTCTCATTTGCAGAAACCAGACCCATATCTTTCTCAGATCACCTTTGTTTAAATGCACTGTAATTTTCTTCTTTAAGTCTGGGGTACACAGTGTCACAAGCTAGAACATACAGACCCACCCTCATAGAGCAGAGTGTGGACAAGGAGGAAGTGCAGGAACTTCTAGACACATTAGTTCTGTCTCCTGCTCCAGCTTCCTGCTGCAGGTGGTACTTTGCTGCACAGAAAGGAGGGAAACCTGTCCAGAGTAACAGCAGCCCATGCAGTAGGACCAGCAGCTGAACACAGCCTTCACCCTGCAGTCCTAAGCTGTTCTTCAGCTCTACTCAGAAAGCAGCCAGTGTGCCACCTTTTACATCAGGCTCAGATCTGACCGGTCCAGAGTACAAGTGACACCACTGAGCTGAGCGAGCTCCAGGAGACAAAGCCACATCATTTCCATATGCCAAAGCTACTTGGTTTCTTGTTCTGCTGCTCCCACTTGTTCAGTAATCGCTGGTTCTCATTGTCAAAGCTACTAGGTGGGTAGCTGTGGCTGAACCTGCTATCATTCTGTGAATCATTCTTGTAAAACTTACTCTGTTTTACGTACTCTCTTGGGAGCTGTTGGCATCTTCTAGCGAACTGCTATTCAGATCCTCATTCCTGAAAGACACTCATTCATGCTGTTGTACTTCCCAGTGAGGTGTTTTGAGTTGACTACTCAGTGGTCTCTATAACATTTTACTGTCTTGAGGAAAGGATGTCTTCCCCCAACAACAGGATTTTAGATTACTTTTTAAAAAGTTTTTAATCTACAAGAATGAGACAGAAACATGAAGGCTACTTAAAGAGAAGCACATGCAATTCTGTTAGGAGGTATAATGCTTCTGATTGTCTTGGCAAGGTTTCAGGCTTCTTGTGTTCTCTCACAGATAAGCCCAAGGGAGACAGCCCCAGGCTGGGGAATGTGTAATGTGTACAGTCTAGAGCATCAATGTACTTTTTAAAATCTGTAGTATATACTTACAAATGGAAAAAAAGCTTTTACAATTATTTTTATACTGCAAAATAATTATATAGCACTGTACTATTTCTAAATTAAACTATTTTTTGGTTCTTTCCAAGTGTGTTCATGTTTACGCAGGTGTGTTCACACTTGGGGAGGTCAGAGGTCTAGTTGAATGTCTTATCTCCTCCCACCTTATATTTTTAAAATATTTTTCACTATATGTATTTTTCACTGTATGTTTGTATTTGGTATGTGCACATGATTGCAGGTGCCCATGCAGGTCAGAAAATCCCTTGGAGCTGAACTTACAAGCAGTTGTGAGCTGCCTGACATGAGTACTGGGAACTAAACTAATATAGTCTTCTGCGAGAGAATTTGCTCTTAACTACTGAGCCGTTTTCTAGCCCTCACTAGAGGACTTTTTGAAACTGGGTCTCTCACTGAAGCTGGACTTGCTCACTGGGCAAGACTGGCTGGCCAGTATGGCTCTAGGTTCTTCCTGTCTCTTCCTCCCTGAGTGCTGTGATGACAGGTACGTGCCACCGTAATTGGCTTCTTACATAGGTGCCGAGGATCTGAACTCAGGTCCTTCTGCATGCAGACTGTGCTGACTGAGCCATCCGCCTAACCCTCTTACTTGGTTCTCGTCATGATGCTGTTCTACATAAGCACAGTGTTAGATATACTGTCATCTCCCTTTCCTAGTCTAGAGTAGACTAGAAAAAGACTTGTTTAGACTGCACGAGTTACTTCTTATGAAAAAGGAGATAATGCCAGAGAAGCCTTTCCACAGTGAACCTAGTGATTCTTAACTGAATCACTGGGTTTGGTTTTCTGCTTATTGCAGTCTATTCTGAACTTGTATGACCAGACATTGTACGATTACATAAGTGAACATATGAGCCAGATGTGGTGGTATAATCCCAGTACTTGAGGAGGCAGAGGCAGGCAAATCTCTATGAACTTGAGGCCAGTGTGGTCTACAAAGGGGTCCAGGGCAGCCAAGACTACACAGAGAAACCCTGCCTGGAAAAACAAAATGAAACAAAATTAAAACAAAAAATAACTGAACACATAACTGCTAGAGCAAGGACCTCATGAGATCTGACCTCATGCATTCTAGTTTCTAATTTTTGTATTGCATTTGTCACAATTTAAAAATGCCAAGGTATGTGCAGTCTGGGCCTGAAAGAAAGTCTGTCCAACAGAAGTACACATAACTTAGTCAGGTGGTTGATGTCATTGGCAGAAACAAAATATTGAGAACAGCAAGAAGGCAACGGTGTGGCTCTAAAAATGGCTGGGCAGTTAAGAGCACATATTGCTTGTAGAGGACCCGAGTTCAGGTCCCCGTACCCACCACAGGTACTTATAACTGCCTGAATTTCAGCTCCAGAAGACCCACCACACTCTTCTGGCAACAGATCTCATGTGTACCTACCCCCATGTAGACACATAGGCATATGCGTGATTAAAAATAAATTTTTTAAAGGCATTGGGATGGCCTGAAAAGATAGCTCAGTGGTTAAGAGCACTTGATTGTTCTTCCAGAGGTGCTGAGTTCAATTCCCAGCAACCACATGGTGGATCTCAACTATCTGTAATGGGATCAGATTCCTTCGTCTGGTGTGCATATACATAAAATACATGAATAAATTAATCTTTTTTAAAAAAGGCAATGGGGCTGATTCTGGTGGCTCATATAGATTCCCAGCACTTAGGAGGCAGAGACAGGAAGATTAGGATTTCAAGGCCATCCTTTGCTACAAGGTGAAAAAAGGGTGTGTGTGTGTGTGTGTGTGTGTGTGTGTGTGTGTGTGTGTGTTGGGAGGGGGGGAGGTGCTGGGAAAGATAAGGAAAAGAAGAAAATAAAAGGCAGTGGGGGTGCCGGAGAGATGGCTCAGAGGTTAAGAGCACTGGCTGTTCTTCCAAAGGTCCTGAGTTCAATTCCCAGCACCCACGTGGTGGCTCACAACCACCTGTAATGAGATCTGGTGCCCCCTTCTGGCATGTAGGCTGTATACTGTATAATAATAAATAAATCTAAAAACAAACAAGCAAGCAAGCAATGGTGATATTTCTAGACATGTAAACAAGATCTCCCTCCATCACTTGGGAGAAGCAGTCAGAATAGATCCCCAAAATCAACATGCAGAAAAGTGCCAGGATCTTGGCATGTGTACAGCACAGACAGCAGACATCCAAGGGACTGTATCACTCCACTATGACTTTGTACATTTAAGACACAGGCTTGCTACAACAGTAACTGTATTTACTGTCTAATGCAATGGTTTTCAACCTATGGGCCTTGATCCTTACAGGGTCACATATCATATATCCTGCACATCAGATATTTACATTACAGTTCATAACAGTAACAAAGTTACAGTTATCAAGTAGCAACAAAATAATTTTATGTTTGGGAGTCACCACAACATGAGGAACTATATTAAAAGGTGGTAGCATGAAGAAAGTTGAGAAGCACTGGTCTACTGGGAAGTGAATGAGTGCCTACTGATGCCTATGTCCCAAACTCTAAATAACATTTAGACAATTAGTTACCTCTCATTTCTTCTCCATCCCATAAAACACAGAGGATTATATGCACTTTATAGAAATGTTCAAACAGTAGTCATGCCTAGCTGGAGATGGTCCCAGGGCAGCAGAGCCTGGGACTTAGTGATGCCCTTGTAGCCTCCCTTAACTCTAGAGCATTCAGTAAATTGATCAGAGAATACCATCAGTTCACATGGGTCTTGAGTGTGTGTCTTATGTAGACAAGTTTGCACACTTGTGAGCATCAGAAACTTCAGTAAAATCAATGTACACCCAAGGGCTGCCCAGGGAGTTTTATGCTAAGCTCGGGTGAGAGGACAACAGGTGATGGATACACTTTTTTATATTTTATGCATAATCACATATATGTGTACACACACACACACACACACACACACACACACACACACACACACACACA